CTATTTAGCAATAAAAATGAGACTTTTCACTTGAACGGTTCTCCCATGATCTTAAATTATAATAATTTTTCAAATTTATATGTAATGAGAATACATATAATGTTTTTTAATTGATATGTAATTTTATTGATTTTTTATTAGTATTTAGATGGTTTAATATTTTCATATAGAAAAATAAGATTATATATTTATTTTATAAATACACAATATAATTAATGTGAATTATTATATATGAAAAATTAATAACGAATACAAATATTATTAACTTGCAAATATATTTATAAAAAGCCTTATTTCTATTTCGCGCGATAATCCACACCGTTGTAATGGAAGGTCGATAGATAAATGATTAATATCGATAGGACATGGAGATGTGAACTTAGAAAGGAGCGGAATATACATGTATGCCTAATTTATGCAGAGTAGGTGCTCTATTCAGTAATACATGATGCCCCTGCATAACTACATGAAGTATTTCCCATATTTCGCCAATATAAAGTTATAAACAAGACGTATATTATCTAAAGTCGTTCCGGCTAATAAAAAATATAAAAATGGTAGCACCAATAAAATAAATACTGTAATTGCCCGATGTGAGAAGCAAAAATATTATGATAAAAGCGTTCCTCAGTAATATCATCATGACTTTCAAAGTTATGTATGGTCGCATTACCAAACCATAAATCGGAATCTTAAATATTACTCCCTCTTTTTTTTTTAATAAGTGTCATTTTGAGAAATTGCACATTAACTAAGAATCTTTTTTGCCAATAATGACTCTCATTAATGAGGATAGAGATGAATGTCTTAAAAAAAGATAAAGAGTAGATATGAAAAGACATGGTGTATTTATTAGCTAGATAGTGATAATAATGGAAAAATATGTACAAAAGATCCAAAAAAAGTCATTTATTTGATTAATTGTTGATAAAGCCAAAATGACATTTAAAAAAAATGAGATAGTATTAGATAATCAAATTTCCTTTTTCATTTTGGATTTACATCCCATTTTGTTACACTTTTGTAGTTGATAGTCAAGGACGTGCAAATAATACTTGGGCTGATATCATTAACCTTGTTAACCTTGGTATGGAAGTTGTGTATGACTTTATTGAAAAGGAACCTCATGAAAGTACCATGAAGGTTTAATCTTGATCATGTTCCATTCACAAAATAGAAAACGGAACGTGAGAAGAGATGATTTTGCTTTCGAAAGAAATCAAAGAATTTTACGGGAATCCTAAAAAATGGGTTCATTATTTTTTTCTCTAATACATGTTGCAATTACTTGTTGACTCTTCTTCTTCGCTAGTACATGTCGTTATTCCTAGATCCATAAGGGAGTACATACATTCAATAAAATAATTTCTTAGATGTATTACTACATCCCCAATGGTTAAGCGGAGGTAGAAATCTAAATTTATTTATTTATTTTTCAAAATTGGCCATAGAACAATTCCCTTTTTGATTGGGGAGTACTGGACTACACCCTAGTTCTGAGCTTCAAAGTACACTTACCAAGCGGTATGTCAAATGGAGCTTTTTTTTTTTTT